CCCCAAAACCCCAAAACCCCAAAACCCCAAAACCCCAAGTACATAAAGTTCACTTGAACTATCAGATAATATTATTTTATGAACTCTGAAAAATCTTCCAAACCAGTTAGCGCTATTCAAGACATTTGGGATGATGAGCGTCAAATTATAGAAGATGATGACTGATCCCCACAGCTTCCAAAGATGACTAAACAGTTTTCAAACACCCTTAAGAACAACAAGGGTAAGGCTAACAAAGATGATTTTAAGCCTGTTATCTGGAACACAAGTCCAGAAGGATATGCTTTCGAACCAATTCATCATGTGCATATAGCGCAAGGAACTAAAAATGATGAAATCAGGATCAAATATAGGCAGAGATGCAATAGAACGAAGCCAAGGACTTATGATTTGAGTCTATCCCAGAAATGGGCTTGCTGAACTATTGGCAAGAAGGCTAATAAGTCTCTAAGAAGGATCCCTTCCAGCGATATCCTTCGCAATCTGCTGACTTAGCTATAAGGCTAAGACCCAATATTAACTCCATAAATTATTTCTAAAGTATTTTCAGAAATTTCTGTTTGAATGGGACTCTCATTACGAGTTTTTACTAAATTTTCCGATTGCTACCTGAAATTTTAAATGTGGTAAATATTCATAAAATCCTTGTCAGTAATTTGAGAAGCCAACATATGTACGAAGACTTTGTGCCAAACTCTTTAGCAATGATGAAGGTAGGAGTGCATGCATATGAGGACTCAATTGAAATTTTTGTTCGAGGTCTGAAACAGTCAGTAAATCACAAGGTCTTCTCCAATATTGTGTTAGACCTTAGCATAACACCCCTTTTTTTAATTTACTTTCTTATGAAAGAAACGAATTGAATTTATTTGCAAAATTGCTATATTGTGGTCTATACTAGTGCTATATTGGAGCATAATCATAACAAAATTTGCATCATCGATATTAAAATTTTACACATAAAGCACAGTCCATTTCCAAATTCTCAGTTTCACTTATGAACGATTATTAACTCTACCAGAAGCTATTGGATAAGATAAAAGAAATAATCGTGCAACTAGGGATGAAGATTCTTATGCTACTGCATATACAATTCTGGGCCTAAATATAACAGGACATTATTATATGCCTCATAATCATAGGTAAATATACTGCTAATTCATACTGTAATCAACTCAAAATTATAATCAAGAAGAAATAGATCCAAAAATCACTCATATATCTAGCTTAGAGTTATTTGTCTGCCAGTTTGATTATAAATTTTGCTTAAAACATTCATAATCCCTCAGAAATTTAATATCTCTTGTCCAAGGTTTCATATCTGTTGTTAATAAGCGACTTTAAAATCTACGATGAAGAGTTCTGGGCTTCTCCAAATACCCAAAGCTTACCATTTCATCTGTAAAAATTCTTAAAATTACTATTTCAAGTAGACTAACAGTTTCTTAATTTCTGAAAATTTCGAGAATTTAGTAGAAAAAAACGGCATAGGAAGGAGGTACACTAATTGTTAGATTTTTCATGCTGGAGATATTGGACTTGCTAAAGAGGGATAGATGGGAATGAAAGGGATAGAGTAAGGATAGTGGTGTAAGGGGGTCGGCATGTACTTGACAAGAGCAGGAGATTGAAGAACAGAGACCAGAAAGAATTACGGACTAGGGGTTTATAAGGTGATCTTTGAAGAGGTCAAATATGAGCAAATGGGAAGGTTTTAGTGAAGGAAACTGGGCCTTATGCAGAATAGTAGTATAAGGATGTAAGAAGAAATTTTTTAGATAATTAGTAAGTAAATATATAATAGTGACTTTCACCTATTTTTGGTATAAAAGCTGTAACCTTATTCAAACTTTATAAGACACCCTTTGTTCTATTCAAACCTAAATCTATCAAACTGAGAGCTAAAAATCCAGCTCTCATCTCTTTCCCAAAGCTTAATTTCATCTCTAAAGCTCTCTCAAGGATGAAATCCTCCATTTTTCAATTCAACACAAAATTATTATCTCGGGGTTTTGGGGTTTTGGGGTTTTGGGGTTTTGGGG